GAGACACAGAGGTGTTGCCTGCTTGCTGCGGAGGTCCAGAAGAGGAGGGCCATGGCAGGGCTGAGGCCTCAGAGCTGCAGCCAGGGGGGCACGGGGGCCTGCAAGAGCGGGGGACATGCACACATGTACCTCGTACCTGGTTGGGCGCCTTCTGCATCAGGTAATATGCCCTCTTCATCTTCTCAGCCACCAGCTGCTCTGGGGCCGGCTGGGGCTTCTCTCTCACAGTGCTGCTCAGGCTGTGTGGAGGACGGTGCGGTTACGGCTCTGCCCGTCGGCAGCCTCCCGGCCCAGGGCCTCCGCAGGCTCCGGGGAGGGGGTGGCTGCAGCCAAGACAGAACCACCGCAACCCGCATGAAACCACAAGCTGGATCCCCGGTGACACCCCTTTGCTCACCTGCCAGGATCCCAGGGCCTCTGTCTGGCAGCACAGATCCAGGCCCCTCCACCCTGGCTCTTGGCTGTAGCCATGGGTTTGTCACAGACCTGGCTGCAACATGTCCCTCCTCCCCCCATGCTGTCCTGGACTCACTGAGCCAGCCCTGCCCAAGCACCAGGGAACGCGTGGAATCGTGTCCATCTCCAACCGGCTGCCCAGCTCTGCCCTGGACAGGGCCCAGCCTGACTCAGGCCCATCCCTGGATGCAGGATGGCTGTTCTGGATCCCATTAAGGGGCTGGTGCTTCTCCAAGGCCAGGCCAGGTCAGGCACAAAGTGCCTCAGGGCAGATGGGCAGGGCAGGCAGAGAGGCTGCTCCAGGCCTCTGCTTGGGGCACTGGCAGCAGACAGGACTGGTGTCATCCTGCGGTGGGGCAGGGCTAGCAGTCGAGAGGAGCCAAGCTGCTCCAGACTGATTCATGGGCTCTCTAATGCCTTGTGACACTGGAGCCGAGGCAGGATGGACCTAGGGTCTGACCTGGGAAGTGGCCATTCTTCTGGGCACTGCACAGGCCCCGTGAAGGCCATGGGTGCTGCCTGACACCTACTCCAAGCCCTGCTGGCAGCCACGAGAACACAGAGCCCCCCTCTGCTCTCTTGAGCCACGTGGAGGTGGTGCCAGACTGGGCAAGGAGGGAAGTGACTAGACACTGGGTAAGGCACAATGGCCAGGTCAGAGCCCCCTGCACAGCCATGGGCAGTCAGAGCCTTAAGTTTCTCCCATAACTCTAACCCAAGAGACCTCGGGGGCCTGTGGGAAGGGGCAAGGGTCCATACCCAAAGCTAAGGATCTCTGCCCTGTTCACAGTGTAGCTGGGAACTGAAGGCAGGGACCAGCTGCGGGAGGAGGATTGGGCTGGGTCCAGTCCCCGACTCACCTGGTGGCGGAGCTCCTGCCACTGGTGGTGCCTGAGGCCACGTCATCGGTGGGTGGCAGGACAAAGCCAGCCAGGTTCAGCAGGTCGCGGACCATCTGGCCCTTGATGCTCATGTCCAGCGGCGAGTTGGAATGGAGGCTGTGGGGAGCAGGGAAGAAATGAGTCTGTTGTGGCTGGAGATCCCAGAGGTGCCTGGCCCCTCTCCCCACCCGCAAGGGCTGTGGGAGTGATAGTCAAGGAACTCTATGAGGGCAAGTGTCCCCTCCTGCAATGCTGGGCAGCTCCCATGCAGGCCCCAGACCCAGTACACCCATCCTGGCCTGCCAAGAGCACAGACCCCCACCCTGCCTTGCCAAGAGCACAGCTGAGTGCCCGGCTGTTGACCAGCTCAGCCAGGGGAACGTACAGAGATGCCGAAATAGAGAAAGGGCAGGGAGCCTTTGTGCCCCGCTTTGGCAGGGGAGAGAGAGGAAGGGGCCCAAACTGACATGCTGGGCAGTAGGGCTGAGGATCCCCCGGGTGCCCACCTTGGGGAGATGTTGACTTCCAGGATCCAGGGCTTGAGGTTCTCGTCCAGCATGACATCAAAGCCGAAGAGCTCGTGGCAGCAGTACGGGCGCCGCACGTACATCTTCACCAGGCTCGTCACATAGGGCTCCGACCTGCCAGCCAAGGGGAGGCATGCTGGCTTGGGGAGCTGGGCAGCAGCTAGCCACGCCACGCCACGCCTCATGCAGAGGTGCTCCCAGAACTCTCCCAACAGGCCAGTCCTGGGCATAGCAGCACAGACCCTTGCTGAACAAATCTTTGCTAGTTGTGCCCCTCCGGTCTCTGCTCCATGCATCAGGTAGGTTTTAAGGTTACCCTGAGTTAGGGGCACACATCTGTCCATCCCACCCCAGCCCGCTGGACACCGATTCCACCCAGACTGCAGGTGACGGCCAAGCCCAGCAGCTGCTGTCACTACATGACCAGGGAACAGGACAGCTCAGGGCTGTGGCAATACTAGGGAAGCTGGCAGGGGGACCCCTGAGACTCACGCAATGATGGTCTTGATGACAATGTCCTTGATCTTCTCCCAGATGGCCTCGCTGTTCACCCCCTTCTGGCTCAGGTAGCTCCAAAGTGCTTTCAGTGCCCTGGGGGAGCCGGATGCTGAGAGGTCACAGCACCAAATGCCCCTGTCCCCCCCACAGCACATGCAGGGAGGGTCAAGGAGCCACAGTGGGCAGAGGCATGGAGCGTGCTCCTCTGTGGCCAGACTTCTCTACTGCAGACAGCCAGTGCTGCAGCAGCCAGGGTGGACTGGGATAGATAGCTCTGCCCCCCCAACCCCCTGCGACAGTAAACCTCCCATACAACCAGTCAGGATTGCGTGGGACAGGAGGTCACCACTGCTCCCAGGTCCCGCACAGGAACCAGAAGGATCAGACAGCGCTGTGTAACAGGGGCATTACGGCAGGAAGGGGGCAGGGAAGGGCAGGGCCTCCCCACACACAATCCCCAGCATGGGCAGCAGTGTCAGCTGCTCCGTACCCTGCAGGTCCCACGGAGCCACAGAAGGGGGACCTGCAGCCTGCCTGGCCCAGATGTGACCATGATCCAGGCATGTCCTGGCCCCCATCACTACCCTGCACCTGTGGGCAGCCGGGGGTAACTCTGGGCAGAATCATCCTTGGTAAGGACAGCACTGAGCACGGTGAGGCCTGGCCCAGCTCCCAGGAGCAGCAACGAGGACACCTCCAATACTCGGGTCACCAGCAGCTGCGCCTGGTGCATCCCAGCATCTGAGGTTGCCACAGCAGAAGGCAGCTTGGCAAGGGAGGAGCTCTCTGGCAAACACCATCCTTAGCTCTGCCACTGGCCCTGCCCATGCCTCAGTTTCCTTGCCTGACATGGGACAACACTGGGCAGCTTCTGGAAAGTGCTTGGAGCTCTGCAGTGGTGGAGACCTCCCCACCCGCCAACGACAGAGAGGAGCCAGCCCTGGTCTTACCACTTGTGGCCCTGGCAGGCAGTCTCGTCAGCATTGGCCTTGTACTCTGTGTTCTTCTTGTTCACGCTGTAGTTGGTCAGGTGCATGAACTTGTTGCCAAGGCTCTTCATAGAGGATGAGTACCTGGGCCAGGAGCAGGGGGATAGACAGAGATCAGCATGTGGGTAATGGGGTGCCCAGACAGTGCCAGGGAGGGGGCTCTGTCTTAACCCCCGCCCTGGGAGCGCCAGACTACTCTGCTACAGAGAGAACTGGTGCCCCCCCACATCAGCCCCCTACCGTGCCCAGATAGCAGCACGGCTTGTCTGTGCCCCACCTGAGCTGCCCCCCAAGACATACTTGCAGCTGGCAAAGCGCACAAGCCCATCCCTGAAGAGGTAAATGCGGAGTGGGTCATAGCACGTGACGTAGACATAGATGCGCAGGTCGAATTTGCTGCCTCCAATGAGGTATGGCTTATGCAGGTACCTGCAGGCAACGAGGCGGGCATGAGGGCGGGGAGGGGCATGGCTGTGACAGTCCAGGCTCCTGGGTTGCACCCAGGCCCCCCACACCCACAGCTCTGGTCCAAACCAGCCTGGCCCAACCAACACTCCTAAGCTTCCAGGGATGGAAACCCCTCGCCCTCCTAGGCGGCTTGGCCCAGGGCACCACAGGTGCTTGGCTGGGGGATAACACGGGGAGGCTTGGAGGTGCCTTGGCACATAGCCCAGAGGAAGGTTCCTGTGTCCCGAGACAGACCCGTCCTAGCCCAGGTCACTGCCCCTTCCCAGGGATCCAGGTGCTGGGTGTAGCCCAGTCTGGGGCTGTGCCCAGCTCTGCCAATGCTCCTGCTGGGACTCAGCCATGCAAGGTCCTGGCTACAGGCTCTTGTCCCCTGATCACGCTGCCTTTGTGGGGGCAGGCAGGGATTTGCCCCCTGCTCAGCTTGGCCAGCGGGGTTTCCCCTCCCTCTGCAGCAGAGGTATGGCCAGGGCCTGGGCTCTCTCCAGTGCCCACCAACACCCCTGGCAGCAGCAGGACGTTGGCTCTGCCTTCCCTGTTGCAGGGAGGCAGCTGGGGTGTTCCAGCTCCATCCCAGTGCCCCCCTTGGGCATTGCTGGGGGCACCTACTCTATTCACTTGCCTATCAATACGCTACCGCCTTGTCGCCAACCCACTCCTATTATAAGGCACTTGGCATCTGTTCTGATGTGGGGCACAAAAGGGTTTTTAGAACTGGGTTATTTCCCTGGGCAGGACCCTTGCTCCTGTGCACCCTTTGAGGGGCAACCTGTCCTGCAGGGGAGATGGGAACAGAGGCCTGCCTGCCTGCCTACTCCCCCACGCCCAGTCACCTCTGCACCAGCAGCGGCCGGCGCTTGGGCAGCTGGCTCCACTTGTGGACGACCTGGATGCCAATGCCTCTTGCTGACGCCGGCTGGAGAAGGGGTCACACAGGAGAGGGGATTAGATTCCCTACCAGTGCCTTGGTACCAGGTCCGATGCTCCAACTATCCCCCCCAAACTCCCCGGAGCCAGCCCCCACAAATGCCCAGGCCCAGGCTGCCTGTCCCAGTCTCAAGCCCTGAGCCCCACCAGCTGCCCTGTGCTCCCCACTGAACCCACCCCCCAGCGCACCGGCTTCACGATCCACTTCTGGCGGTTGCCACCCTCCTCCCAGGCCTGGCGCAGCCCCCGGATATCCTGAGGCAGGATGAAGGACTGGGGGAAGAAGTTGAAGTCCCGCTTGCCGCAGCGTGTCTGCATCTTGGCCAGGTTCCGCCACAGCCGGTCCTTGCGCCCGATTTGGAATGAGCCGGGAAAGTGGTTGATCTGGAAAAAGGATCGAGTGAGCTGAGGCAGCCACCCCCCAGCCTCCTAGTCCCAGGCAGGGACAGGTCACCACTGCGGAGAGGCCAGTTTGCCTCTATGGCCAGGGCACCATACTGGCAGGGCTATGTATGCCTGAGGCAGGGTCCATTGTCAATCGTAGAGTCCCAGAGCTGTGGGGCCGGCAGGGAGCTGCAGGGTCACGTCCAGCCCGAGGCAGGATCCACCCAGTCCAACCCCCCACAGACAAACCCCATGTGCAACCTTGGAGCCGCATGACACCATTGCCCCTGACAGCCCTGGGCATCATCCCGACCCCTGGGAAAGCAGGGGGGCCGCAGCTGCCAACATCTTGCTGCTGCCAGGGGGTTGGTGGGTGCTGGAGAGCCCAGACCCAGGCCATGCCCCCGCTGCAAACAGAAGGGAACCCCACCACCCGGGCCAGACTGAGCAGGGGGTAAATCCTTGCCTGCCTCCCCTCCCCCTCCAGGCAATGTGAGTGGGGGGCAAGAGCCTGTAGCCGGGACTGAGTCCCAGCAGGAGCACTGGCACAGCCCCAGCCTGGGCTGCAGCCAGCACCCAGAGCCTCTGGGGGAAGTGCAGTGCCCCACATGCCTAGAGTCACAGCCAAGCCAAGGGGTTTGCCTGGCAGCCAAGCTCTCTGCTCTACCCAAGCCCAGAGCAGGGCCCAGTGCACGGGGAGACTGGACAGACGGGGGAAGGGAGATGGCAGTGGTGAGGGAAGCTGTCACCTCTGCTAACCAGGCTCAGACCTGAGTGTAAAGCAGGTTTGGAAGTGTCACCATCGAGGGTGAGGGGGGCAGCTCATGCTGGAACAAGCTCCCAGGTTCCTTGTGGCCCCTCCCACCACCCTGCAGCCCTGGTGGAGGCCTGGGGGTGCCAGGGCTGCAAAAAGAGCCCACACGGGCCAAGCCACAAGTTCCATGGGGCTCCCCAGTGCTACAGACAGCATGTGACCACCCCTAGGCACCAGCCCTGCTGCCTCCCACCATGGGCACCCCCCAAGCTCTCCTTACCTTCTGGTGCTCCTTGATGATGCGGAAGGCTGGAGACTTCATGTGGTGGCCCCAGCAGCCCAGCCAGTCACTGTTCCCTGAGGGGAATGAGGAAGTGTGGGTGCCCCAGCCCCCACCAGCTCAGAGCCCAGACCACATGGCTCCGCAGCCCCCTCCAGCTCCCATCCCCAGACGGCCCCAGTGCTATGCGAACCTTGCAGCACAGCAGATGCTGCCAAGGCGACTGTGGCAGCCTCCCCGGGAGTGCCCAGCATGGCCTGGGCACCAGCCATTACCACTCATTTCACCCAGGGGTGCCTCAAGTGTCCTGCCCAGGCTGGGATGGGGGAGTTCAAAACTATGGCTCCCTCCAGCCCCAGAGTTGAGCGGAGAATCACCCTCTCAAAGCAGGCATGAGGGCTCCCCTGGTCCTCCCAGCTCCCTGCACACTCACACGACCCAGCTCCAGCTGTGCTGGAGGGGTGGTGCTACAGGTACAGACACCTGTAAAGATGCTGGCTCAGGCAATCCGGGCCTGGAGCCTTCCTTTTGGGATAGTTCAAGCTGTTGTGAATGGTGCAGCAGCCTCTGGTGACAGCCCCCTGGGCCCAGATGCTCCATGCCTGGCCCAACCTGTTCAGGGGCTGCTGGCCACCAGCCCCTTTGCCCTGGGGCAGTGAGACCCTGGCTCAAGCCCCACAGGGGCTGGGCAGGGCGATGGGAGCCCAGCAGGGCACCGCAGCTCAGGCAGACTCACTTCTGCTGACTCTGAAGTGTGAGCGGGCGACTGTCTGCTTCACGACGTTGGGGGTGACTGAACTCATCTTCCACCGCAGCAGGCGCCGCTGTTCCCAGGGCAGCTTCTCCACTGGTGGGGGGAAGGAGGTGGCAGAGGGTGTGAGGGAGATGGAGAGCCCGACTGGGCCCTGGTAACCCTAGAACAGCTTGCGGTGGGGGGGAGCCTGCCGGCTGAGTGATGACCCAGTCCGAGCACCAGGAAAGCCCGTCTCTAGGATCCCACCACACAGGTTTACGAGAGCAGGGGACACAGAGGGCAGCAGACATGAGTGGACACCAGTTGTCTGTGCCTCCATACAGCCAGTGCCCAGCATCTCCTGTCCTCCCATAGGGCCAGCCTGATCCCCCACCAGGCAAGCAGGCAGGTGGGGGGAAAATGCTTCTTTGCCCCATCTCTCCGCGAGCAGCCAATGCCCTGAGAGGCCGGGGCTGTGGCATGGCCTCACCTGGGACCAGGGCAGGCGTCCCAGCACTGAAAAGGGCAGATGGTGACTTCAGTTGGCTCCTTTCAGGGCATGGAAGGGCCCCGACTGCCTGGGAGGGATGAGGACAAGGGGGAGAGGAGCCCTCAGAGCCCAGATTCCAGCTGCCCCCCTTCTTTACCTCTCTCGTCGCAGGTCCCAAAGTAGATGGTTGGGGGCATGTTGGGGAAGAGGCTGCCCAAAAGGGCTGGTCTGAGCACCCTCTCCTGGGCCTCTACCCGTTGTGCCAGGCCCTCCTGGCAGCTCCTGTGGGGAGGGCAACAGGGCATGAAAGCTGCTTGCCTGGCACCCACCTGCCATGGCCCCAAGCCAGGGAGCCCCACAGCTCTGCAAGGAGTGAGCGGGTGTGGGGGTTGCGCACATCACCCATGGGCTGCGCTCATGGGTATAGGGGCGTGGCAGGGCCCCAAGGTCAGAGACTGCCAGGCTGGCCCCCAAGGATGTTTAGCTGATGGCAACGAGGTGCCATGGCTGCTCCGGGGTGCCAGTGCAGAGCGCTCCATCCCCCTGGCAGCTGCTCCTACTGTGTGGGCACACCCAGCCCCAGGGTCAAGGGCGCTACGGGGCTGCACATGCACACGTACACACCCACACCTGCATGTATGCAGCAACGTACCTGCATGTACACATATGCATCCACAAGTACACCTGCACCCCACACATGCACATGTGTATATGGCCAGGCCTACACACCCTTATGTACATGCCTGTACACACATACATACACACATACACACCCACATCTGCATGTACACACACTCACCCCCAGGTGTACACACACGCTTACACCTACACCCCGCAATACACATATACACCAGCACGTGCATATGAATTCATACACCTGCCTGCACATGTACACACCCATACCCACATATATACATCCATGTTTGCATGCACTCACACCCACGTGTACTCACATGTACACACAGGCTTATGCTTACAGCTACACCTGCACATATACACCCACATCCCACACATACATGCCCACACCCATACTTGCACATACACATGTACATGCCAGACACTCGCACACAAACACACCTGCACCTGTACATACAAACACCTGCAACTACACACCTCTCACGCCCTACCAGGGGCAGCGCTACCCCCCAGGACCCTCTCAAAGAGAGCCCCCTCCATGGCCTGCCCACCCTAGGCTCACAGCAGCCAGGGACAAAAGGCCCTTTAAAGTGCAGACACACAACGCAATTACCCCAGGGCCGCACTCAGCTGACCCCCAGCCGGCTCCTCCTCCTCCCAGGCCCACAGGCCCTATCGCACCACCTGGCTAGCTGGAGGGGGGCCCGTGGTTCCCTCTTGCTCTCCACAGTGTCCTGGGACAGAGCTCCTAGCGCCAGGCTGGGGATGCGCCTGCCCCATGCTTGCTGAGGGATAAAGCCCATGTACCCGCCCAGCACATGCTCCGCGTGTCCCTGTCCACAGGACAGCATCATGGGGCAGCTCTGGGTGTCCCCACGAGCGTGCTAGAGTCTGGCTGACCAGAGCCGCAGCCAATGTGCACCCATGACCCCGAGCATGGAGGCCAGCACCGGCCCCTGCCTTCGGAGCTGGAGACCCAACAGGCCATTCAGGCCCAGGCTGCCTCGGTGCCTGGGATAACGGAGCTTGGTCTGAGTGCCGGGTGCGGCTGGCTGCAGCCCGAAGACTCCAGGTCCCAGAGGAGCCCCGTTGCCTGAAGGATGTCACCTGTCCAGCAACTTACCTGGATATGAGTGCCACTGACCCACTGGGTGACAGGCCCATGACAGAGGAGCTGTCTGACTCGCCTGTTGGAGACAAGACAGCATTAGGCTTCCAGGCTCCAGCTGCTGCCTCCCAGGGGGCCTGGGAGAGCAGGAAGAAAGGCAGTGCCCTCATTCCCTCCCCGCTGCCCAGGACCAGCCACCTGGAACATGTCCCAAGGGCTCCATGAGACCCTCATGTGATGCCTGAAAGTCCACAGGTGCTCGGGCACCCCCGGGCCCACGGACTTCAACATGTCTTCGTGCAGCTGGAATCATCAGGTTGGACCAGGCCTGGTCTCCTCTTCCAAATCACCAGCCCTGCCCAAGCCAGTCCAGGCAACCCTCCGCTCCCTTCTGGCGCCCAGCACTGTTCGCAGTCCCCAGCCAAATCCTGGCCAGGTGCTATCACCTCACTTGTCTCACACATGCAGGGATGGGAGCATGCCTGTGTGCCTGCTCACAAGCCAGGCCAGCTGCATGGAGGTGACCCCAGACTGCAGCTCCCTGATGGAAGGTGCATGGAGGATGGAGACAGACTTCTCTGTGGCCACAGGGGATAGTACATGGAATGAGGGACTGAGATTGTAGCAGGGGAGATGGAGAGTAGAGATTAGGAAGAGCCCCCTCTTTCTAACACGGGGGGAATCTCCATCCATCAGGTCTCAGGAAACGCTTCTTCACTGCCCGAGCAGGGAGCTTGTGGGGAGACACCAGGGCTGGGGTACTCTGCAGCATGGGAGGGTCCAAGGAGAGGCTGGACAGGCACCAGGCAGGGAGGATCAAGGCACAGCAATGCCTGTACTCTGCTGGAGGGGGGGAAAGGGGGGTGTCCTAGGCTGCTGGGCTGTACTGGCTGACTCCCCACCCCTCCTGTCAAGGGCTGAAGCCCCCCCAGGGATTCTGGGTCCTGGCTGCAGCCCAGGCTGGGGCTGTGCCTGAGCTGTGCCAATGCTCCTGCTGGGACTCAGCCCTGTAGGGTCCAGGCTGGAGGTTCTTCCCCACACACTGCATTGGTGGGGGTGTCAGGCAGGGATTCGCTCCATGCTCAGCCTGGGGGGGTTTCCTGTCCCTCTGCAATGGGAGCACATCCTGGACCTAGGCTCTCTCCAGCACCCACCAAGCCCCCTGGCAGCAGCAGTACATTGGCAGCTGCGGCCCCCGCCTTCCCGATGGCAGGGGTGGGGGCAATGCCCAGGGTTGTGTTGGGGGCGACAGTGTCATGTGGCTCCAAGGTCGCACGTGGGGTTTGTCTGGGGTGGTTTAGATGCTCCTGCCTCAAGACTGGATGCAACCCCAGAGCTCCCTGCTGGCCTCATGGCTGCAGGACTCTACAATCCTCAGGAATTTTCCAGAGTAGGAGGGACACACGCTGGCCTGGTCCTGCCCGGAGCAGGGGCTTGGCCAGCCTGACCACTCTGTGAATTTGTGCACATAATTCTGTGGGTGCTGCGATGGTGCTGCCATTTCAGTGTCCCCCTCTGCACCTGCCCCACCATCTCACCGTCCTCCTCCTCCTCCTCCCCATCCTGGCTCTCATCATCCAGCCCATCGGGAAGTTCCTCTTCTGCCTCGTCCTCAGGCTCACTGGGGGAAGCGCTGGAACACAGAGTGGGAGATGAGAGAGGATCATGGTTTCCTGTGGGTCCCGCTTCCCCTCGCCACCCGCGTCTGGACCTGCCCAAGAGGGGGAACATGGAGCAGAGACTGACACCCCCAAGGGTGGCCAAGTTCCCAGCCCTCATCCTGCGGGGAAAGGCGGAGAGGCCCCTTCCCCCAACACTTACTCCGGGAGCTGTGGGGATACCCTCGGCATGCCCATGGCCTTGCACTTGTCCTCATCTAGCTGGACGGTGGCGATCTGGGCAGCGACTCTGGAGACAGCGGTGAGGTGCATGGGCCTAGCTGTGTCCCCATTGCTCAGTGACAGGAGGTCCAGCCCACGACAGGGCAGGGGGGTGGGCGCTTCGGTGCTGGGGGCGAGGAGCTGAACACTGATGCGCTTCGTGCAGGCACTGGCACTGGGAGGGCTCTGGCCCCCAGGGAGGCTGCAGTGCCTCAGCTCAGAGCTCTGGGGGGCCAGGGTGGCCTGGGGACTCAGCTGGGTGAGGAGGTGCGGTCTCCAGTGCCCGGCCACAGGGAGTACATTGCAGCGGAGGCCGCTGGCGGCTGGACAGACAGCGTCGAGGTGCCGGCCGTAGTCTTCGCAGGTGCTCACCTTCCCCCTCAGCTGCCTTACAGCCTCTGTCAGCTGGATCTCACGCTCCCTGGTCTGCAGGCTCCGCAGCCGAATCTCCGCGTCTTCCAGGCACCACGGGGTCAGGCCCTCAAGGGTGGGGGGCAGGCAGGCCAGGACAGCCGGCTGGGGCCCCTTCATGGGTCTGTTCTCCAGGCCTGCAATGGAGCCATCGCCGGTGCCCCCAGTGCGGGCCCAGGACATGGCGAGTGGCCTCAGGGAACTCTTCCCTCTCTTTCTCTCAGGGGATGGGGGCGAAGGCACTTGGGCACTGCTTGGCCGCAGGAAGGCATTGTTGTTCAGCACGGGTCTGTAGGGACTGGGAGCTGGCTGCCCCAAGCCCAGGGGGGAGTCTTTAGGTGAAGGGGGACGGTCTTTAGGCGCCCGTGGCAGCGGGGCCAGCTCTGGGGCGGCTGACAGCATGCCAGGGCCCTGGGTGAAATTGCTGGCTGGGGGGCCCTGGGGAGGGAGGGGGACCGACCGGCGCTTGAGAGTGCTCGAGCATAGACAGATGGACTCAAGCCGCTGGTAGGGTCTCTGCCGGGCGTAGGATCGGCGGTACAGCAGCGTGCTCCCTGGGGAGCTGGGGAAGGGCAGGGGCAGGCCAGAGTGGGCAGTGTCACCAGGGCATGGCACAGGCAGGGGTGGGAAGCTGGGGGGCCCCGGGTGGAGCAGGCTGGGGACCGGTGGAGCCCTCACATGCTTCCTCTCCAGCCTCCAGATGGGCTTGATGTGCTGTGGGGCCGGGGGCCAGGCCCGGCTCTCGCAGGCTGGCTGCGGGGTGCTGAGTGTGAGCCCGGTGCTACAGCTATAGTGCTGTGGCCCAGCCGAGGCCATGGGCAGCCATAGCAGGGCAGGCGGGTGGGCAGCCCCTCACTGCGGCATTCTCAGCGCGTCTGGCAGCCTGCAGGAAGGACACAGAGCAGAGACGCCAGGTTAGAGCATGCCCAGCTGGAGCAGGACAGGGCCTGATCTGCTGGAAACCCTTGCCTCTGCTCTCCTTCCTTTGGAGGGCAGGCCCACGCCCCCAGCATGGAGCCAGCCAGGAGGGAGGCGGTGGCCATGGAGAAAGGAACAGACGTGGTGAATATCCCAGGCAGGTGCTTGCTGCATCCCAGGGGCAGGTCCCTGCTGGGTGGAGGTAGCCAGGTAGGGGCCAAGCAGGGAGTGAGCCAACCTGCAAAACAGCCCTCCTGTCTCAGCCCTGGTGCCCAGCTCGTTTCTGCCCTCCAACCCTGAGCCTGCCCAGAGCCTGAGAGGCCCCACACTTGGAGGGTTGTCTAGGTCTCTGCTGCACAGGAAGCCAGGCCCATGAGAGATGCAGCCCCACAGAAGTTCCTGCCTCTGGCATGTTCCCTGGGCCACTGCGACTACAACATGGCTCTGATGCTACCTATAGCCCCTGGTGCATGCCACGTGCCTTAGACACTGTGTGCCTGTGAGGCTGGGCCAGTGGCTGGGCATCCCTGCAAACCAAAAACCCCATCACTGGGTGTGTCCACTCCCCACCCCGCTGCAGTGTCCAGCGGGTGGAAGAGGCACGGACTCTGCTAGCCTTAGAGTGACCAGCTATGCTACCCATAAGAAGAGCCCTGTGCCCAGCTGGCTGTGGCCCCTGCTGGGAAGCGAACGCTGCCAAGGAAGGGTCAGGGGAGCCACACACACAGACAGCAAGAAGCTGCCAGCACCAAAGGGACAATGCAGGCCAACACCTGCTCATGCTGACTCAGTGGGACACCCCTGACCAGGTGCCAAGCCTTACCAGGGACATGCAGCACAGAGCAGCTCCCACCACCCTGAATGGCCACGGCACTGGGTGCCCACAAGTTGAATGAGTCCCCAGCGTATGCCCACAGCAACTGCCAGCCTGTAGGAGCTCCCAGCAAGGCACTGTATGCCCGTGTCTGGAAAGAGCTCTCTGCTAAACCCAGCAGGACCCACAGGGCCTGGCCAGGACTGCTCACCCCTGCTCAAGTGGCCCTGCTATGGGGGCAGGAACTGCAACACACCTACAACGCAGCAGGCACGAAGCCAGCCCATTCCACACACCTGCTTAAGGAGCCAGACCCAATGGGTCATGCTGGACAACACAGCATTTCCACACCCCCGTGGGCATGGCTGATGGAGGATGGCAGATGCCGTGCCCCCTACTGCCACGGCGCACGTAGAGAAGACGACGGACAGGAGTTCGCTTCCTGCTGAGCCTTGTAGCAGGGACATTGAGGTCCCGGGAAGATCGAGTCCTATCAGGTTGCACTGCAGCCAGCATGCAGCAGACAGAACCCGAGCCACAGCGGGAGGCCGACAGGGCTGGTGACCCCCGCTCACACCCAGAGGCAGATCCCTGCTGTTGTGACAGCCAGACCAATTAGCCAAACCAATTAGCACGGGACAAAGGGACACGGCTCCCTGGCTCAGGTGTCCCTGGCAAGCGGGTTTACACACACACTGCAGCCAGAGAGGACGGGCCAGGCCAGCTCCACTTGGATCAAGGTGAACGCAAGGGAGACAGGAGTTCTGTCTGGGCCATTGAGGCAGCTCCCAGCCAGGAAAAGGGGCTTTCAAACCCAGGGATAATTAGTGCACACTCTCCGTAAGCTCCTGGCAGACCTCCACCCACCCACTCTGATGAGGTCTAAGGTGCTGGCTCAGGCCCTGAAATGTGGGGAGCCAGCCCAGCAACGAGGGGTACCGATAGAGCTACGGGGACACTGATCCAGGAGACTGGGGCTGAAGAACCAAAGGAAGCACAGTGTGAAATGTCACTCGCCTCCCTCAGGAGAGAAGTGAGGCGGCTACTGCATGGCTGGTCCCAAGCAACAGTGTCCTGGAGCACAGTGACATGCTGGGGCAGGTGGTTGCAATGTCCATAGCTGGGGCATGCAACAAAGGGGATGGAGGAAGGACACTAAATTCTCAAGCTGTAGGGCCATCAGGGAGCTGTGGGGTCACATCCAGCCCGAAGCCAGGATCAGCCCCATCCAAACCTGCCCAGACAAACCCTTCATGTGAACTCAGAGCTGCATGACACAGTCACCCCCGACACAGCCCCGGGCATCACCCCTGCCCCTGGGAAAGCAGGGCGGCCAAGGCCACCAACATCCTGCTGCTGTCACGGGGGGTTGCAGGCATCAGTGAGCCTTGATCCTCCCACCCAGCACCTGTCCAGCCTCTCCCTGGACCCTCCTGTGCTGCAGAGTCCCCCCGGTGCTGGCGTCTCCCATGAGGCCGCCCTGCTGGGGCAGCAAAGAAGCATTTCCTAAGATCCAAACTTAAACCTGCCTGGCTGCAGCTTTCAGCCATAGGTCCATGTCCCACTCTTGAAGCTGGCGTGCCAAGGGGGTCAGAGAACAGGGACTGAGATGCAGACTGACTGATTGACCCACACTGAGGAGAGCAGCTGTCCTGGAGGGGTCACTGCCTTGTTTCCTGTGTGGGCTGGTCCTAGCCCCCCTGCCTGGCTTTTTCCAGAGAGAGTCCCGACTTTAACTTCACTGCCCTGCACCTCCTGGGCACTTGTTACAGCATCTGCAGTGACTCCCATCTTCTCTGGCCTGGCCACCCTTGCAGGACAGAGCAGCACTGGGACTCTATCCCAGCTGACACGGCAGACACAGGACCGCAACCGGGACCGTCACTGTGGAGGCACGAGGCACCCAGTGCAGGGCTGGACACAGGATATTCTCATATAGGCCTTACCAGAACACCAATCCAGGTGCACTGTTTGCACAAAGCTTTGGACAGAGCAGCAAACCCAACCCACGTATGAACAAGTTGCACTGTGCAAACGTGACCAGGATGGCATCAGACGTACGGTCTCACCACAAGACGGACAGGCCAGTGACAAAGTGATCAGGCTAGATCAGGATGTGAAACAAACCTGTAGCACAGGACAGTTAAAGATATTCAAGATACTCGGGCGTAATCCATTTGATCGCTGCAGAACAGGTGGGCTGGTGAGCACGGGAGCTGCGCAGCAGCCTAGGGGACCCAACGTGGTGCCATGTTGACTGCCTCGTCACAGGTACGAACGCCGTAGCTCCTGGTCCAATGCGCTTGTTAGGCAAAACCATGCCATCTGCGCTTGTAGATGAGACACCAGGCCGAATCCTTGCCACGAACAGAGCCTGCGGTCATTCTTTAAGACAAGGCGGGGGTTGGGATCTCCCAGTTTCGGCTGTCGACACCGCTATTCCCGAGACCTCAGGGCTGACGACATGCTAGTAACACCTGACACAAGGACAACAGCAACAACAACGCAGCTGGCACCCAACATGAGGGCAACGTAGCAATGACAGCTAGGAGCCTCCTCGGAC